AGCACAGGGAAACCCTCCCATTCACAATAGCCACAAAAAAAATAAAATACCTTGGAATAAACCTGACCAAAGACATTAAAGAACTCTACAAAGAAAATTTTAACTCTTTAAAGAAAGAAATTGAGGAAGACATCAGAAGATGGAAGGACCTCCCATGCTCATGGATTGGAAGAATTAATATTGTGAAAATGACCATCATACCAAGAGTCATATATAGATTCAATGCAATGCCAATCAAAATCCCCATGACATTTTTCACAGAATTGGAAAAAAACATCCTAAGATTCATATGGATTCATATGGAAGCACAAAAGACCTCAGATAGCCAAAAAAAACCCTGAGCACTAAGAGCAATGCCGTGGGGATTACTATACCAGATTTTAAGCTGTATTACAGAGCTGTAGTTATAAAAACAACATGGTACTGGCACAAAAATAGACCCATAGATCAATGGAACAAAATTGAAGACCCAAATATGAGTACATGCAATTTCAGCCACCTGATATTTGACAAAGGGGCCAAGAATATTCACTGGAAGAAAGACAGCATGTTCAGCAAATGGTGCTGGCAAAACTGGATCTCCACCTATAGAAGAATGAAACTAAACCCCTATCTTTCACCTTGCACAAAAATCAATTCCAAATGGATCAAAGACCTCAATGTAAAGCCTGAAACTCTGAAACTGTTAGAAGAAAACATTGGCAAAAACCTACAAGATACAGGTGTAGGAAAGGATTTTCTAAACCGGACATCAATTGCTCAGGAAACAAGGGCAAGAATTAAATGGGACCTCATTAAACTAAAAAGCTTCTGTACATTCTTTTTTTAATTTTTATTTTATGTTTATATGAGTGTATTGTTTGCATGTAGGTAGGTGCACTCGTGTTGTGCAGTGCTCGCAAAGGTCGGAAGAGGGTGTCAGATTCCCTGGAACTGGAGTTATGGATGGTTGTTAGCCACCATGTGGGTGCTGGGAATCAAATCCAGGTCCTCTAGGCGAGCAGTCAGTGCTCATAACTACTGAGCCATCTCTCCAGCCCCTCTATAATTTTCTTGAGAGACCATTATACTGTTTCCTATAGCTGCTTTGCCATTTTATTTATATTCCCATTATCAGTGTATGAGTTTCAGGGATTTAGTTCAGTGGTAGAGGACTCACTCATGTAAGACCCTGAGTTCAATCCTCAACACCAGAAAAGCAAATCAAGAGAACCATCAGTGTACAGGTTTTAGTCTTTCCATGTTATTGTCAACACTTGTTATTTGGTTGTGAGGGGTTTATTTTTAATGTTTTTTTGTTTGAAAAAGGATCTTGCTGTGTAGCCTAGGGTGGCCTTCAAACTCTTGATCCTCCTGCCCTGTCCTCCCAGGTGCTAAGATTACAAAGCATGTGCCACCATGCCTGGCTTCATTTTCATTTAAAAAAATGTTTTATTTATTTTTATTTCATGTGTATGAGCGTATTGCCTTCATGCATGTAAGTTCACCCATGTCATGCAATGCCTGCAGAAGTCAGAAGAGGGTGTTGGATCCCCTGGAACTGGAGTTATCAATGGTTGTTAGCTGCCATGCGAGTGCTGGGAATTGAACCCGGGTCCTCTGAAAGAGCAGCCAGTGCTCTTGACTGATGAGCCATCTCTCCAGCCCCTTGTTTTCATTTTTTATGGTAGCTATCCTAGTGAGTATAAAGTCATTGTTGGTTTTTTACTAGTTGTTGATATGATATGGAATAGAGGCCTCTAGACATTTAAAATTATTTTTTCTTGTGCTGAGGATTAAACCCAGCACCCTCATGCGTGCTAAGTAAGCACTTGTGAGCTTAAGTTCCTAAAAAGGAGTGATGGAGGGAGAGACAGACAGAGAGACAGACTACACCTATGTTAAAGATTCTATAAGACCAGATGACTAAATTTCAGGATTATAGCGTGTTAAAATGTTGCCAACTAGGGCCAGATTAGCTTGGGCTAAAAAACCATCCGTTGCCTGTGTCTGACCTAACATCCTTATGCCTTCTAAAACCTTGTACTGTTTTCTTAACTGACCACTAGCTTTCACCAATCCAAACCTAAGAATGTATGAGACATTGTCTGAAACCTGTAGCAGAGTTTCCCCTGCTTTGCTCTAACCTGCCTACCTGTAGCCCCCACCAGTGTATTTGCTAAACACTGGCTTATGGCTTTCTGTGTTCTATAAAATCTCATTTAAGCATTTCCACAGTGGAGCATGGTATTTGGGGAAACCTGAATCTGTGTTCCCAGGGTATGGTCACTCATATTTGACTGCAGAATAAGCTTTCTTATCCCCTTTGAGGTGAGAAATGTCTTTTTGTGTCAGTACACTATGACACCAAACTATGCCTTTAGTATAGTGTGCCTATGTATAAGTTTGAGCAATCATATTTAGTGTGGTATATTAGCATAAATTTGTTCCAGATTTCAGTATAAAGTAAAGCTCATCCTTATTCAATCTAGAAGTAGAGTTTTTAATGTATCTTAAAACATTTCCTGTTACTTGTTTTCTGAATTCTCTCCTTTCTCATATAGTCTCTTGAGGGAAGGCTTTTGTGGCAAGGATTTTAGGCTTTTTGGAGTGGATATGGTAAATATTATTTTAAAAAATGGAGGGAAGCCAGGTATGGTGACACATGCCCTTTAGTCCCAGCACTTGGAAGGCAGAGGCAGGTGGATCTCTGTGAGATCAAAGCCAGCCTGGTCTATATAGTGAGTTCCAGGCTAGCTGGGGCTGCAGGGAGACCCTGTCTCAAAAAAAAAAAAAAAAAAAAAAAAAAGAAAGAAAGAAAAAAGAAAAGAAAAAGAAAGGGAGGAGCCAGGTGTGATAGTGCATACCTGTAGTCTCTCATGACCTAAATACCTCCCAACAGCATCACATTGAAGATTAAGTGTCTGATACATCTGATACATGAGTGTTAGAAGAAAGGGAAGCATTAAACTACAGCATCCATAAAGTGGAGCTCTGCATCTTTTCCCTGGCACGATCTCAAGCAGAAACATTAGCACATGTAAGAGAAGGGAGAAAAGAAATTGGCCTTCTTCCTGCCTTTTCTTGGAGAATGGAAGGCAGTTCTGTCACACCCCTGCTGCATTGGAGGGACACTGTGTCCTTCTGTTGTCTGGCCTGGCTTAGAGACTGGTGGAAAGGACACAGGAAGCTTTCCTCTAGTCCTCGCAGGAAACCCTGGGAGTGAGGGCCAGTCACTGTCAGCAAAGCTTGCTGGAGCTTTTATGCAGATGTCTCTTGACGTCACTCAGGCAAGCAATGATTTTCTTGCATCTATTGAATCAGAGAAGGCTTCTGTCTTGCTGTTCGACTTGTGAATTTTTTTGAGGACCATTTAAATCATCTTCGTGTAGGCAACTGAAACAAAGCCCCTAAACTGAAAGCTTTCGCACAGAACTGTAGCTCAACACCTTCTCTCTTGTGCAGAGCATCAGCCTCCGTACATCATTGCAGTGTTGCCTCGATATGTGGAGATCCGAACGTTAGAGCCGCGGCTTCTGGTACAGAGCATTGAGTTGCAGAGGCCCCGCTTCATTACCTCAGGAGGGTAAGAATTTCTCTCTTTACCATGGCTGCATGTTCTTCCAAAGTCCCCTGTATCATAAATTCCATGGCCTCTCACCATTATTCTTCTGCATCCAGATCAAACATTATCTATGTGGCCAGCAATCATTTTGTTTGGAGACTCATTCCTGTCCCCATGGCAACCCAAATCCAACAACTTCTCCAGGACAAGCAGTTTGAATTGGCTCTACAGCTCGCAGTAAGTCTTGTTCCTTCCGTGTTTGGTCTGAACTGGAAGAATACACTGAAAGTCAAGGGGCTTTGGTTCAGGGTTTGCGTCCATCTTAAAATAGCTATGTGACTAAGTGATTTTACTTTTTCACTTTGTCTACCTGTTCAAAGGTAGACTGAATGCCAATTATAATTGGGTCACCTAGAAATTAATAGGAGAATAAAGTTAAGTTAGTAGATATTATATGGTTTGGAGCAATTAAAGACAAATGTAAGCATTAAAATGTACTCATAGTTGTGTCATAATACAGTCTAGATGACTACAGCCACTAGAGGGCCCCTCAGAATTCTTTGAGCAGTAAACTGTTGGGATGAGTCATCCTTAAGGTTTTTTTGGAACCATTTCACTTGTTACCTTCAAGCCAGCTGCAGCCTTCTTTTTACAGTAGCCACTGTATTAGTGAGCTCTTCATTGCTTTAGCAATAGGCCACTTGGGGGAAAAGCAGTTAGCCCACACTTTAGAGGTCCAAAGTCCAGATGACATAGTGCAGGCTCCACGACAGGAGCCACTCCATGGATTTGCCCTCTCCTGGAATGGCAAGCTGTTACACCACGGAATGGCAAGCTGTTACACCACAAACTGAGAGCTGAACAGACAGGAGGGGCCAGGCTCACCTGATTCATACCAGCCCTCGCTAAAGAACTGTCCTTTGTCCCCAGTAACCCAAGAACCTCCCACCAAGCCCCACCTCTTACAGGTTCACACCATTTCCTAGTATGGCCAACCCTCAGAAACAAGTTCTTAACACTTGGCCCTATTGGGAGTCACAGACCGCAATCAAACCCTAGCAGCTATGCATGCTGCTTTGTGTCTGTGTGAACTGTTGTTCCCAGCAAGCCAGTGACCGAGTGTTGTTCAGTTACGCTCCCATTGCCAGTGATGATTTTTTTTTCCCTTTTTTAATTTTTGAGACAAGGGCTTGCTACATAGCTTAGGCTGACCTGGAACTCATGTATGTAGCCCAGGCTGACCTTGATCTTGTTGTAATCTTCCCCGCCAAGTGCTGGGATTATAGACATGAACTACCATATTCAACTTATGTGATGATTTTTGTTAATCTGTAGAAGGTAGATTTGATTTCAAGAAATGACAAAACATCATTCTGAGCCTAACATGGTTATTAAATCGGGCAGTGCTAATTTAAAGAAAAAATTTTATAATGTGTATGAGTGTGGACCTGCATGAATTTGTGAGCACCATGTATGTGCAGGAACCAGGAGAGACCAGAAAAGTCAGTTGAAGCCCTTGGAGCTAGAGTTACGGGCAGTTGTGAGCTAACATGTGGGTATTGGGAATTGAACCCAGGTCCTCTGGAGGAGCAGTAACTGCTCTTAACTGTTGACCCAGCTCTCCAGCCCATAATTTAAAGAAAATTCGATGAAAATAATAATAAAGTTAATTTTTTAGATGATCTTCTAAAATATTTCTGAAGAAAAAGCAATGATTCCTTTTTTTAAAATTTTTTTATTTTTATTTTATGTGTACAAGTGTATTGCCCGCATGTGAGTACACCCCTGTCGTGCAGTGCCGCAGAGGTCAGAAGAAGGTATTGCATTCCCCTGGATTTGGAGTTAAGGATGGTTTGTAGCCGTCATGTGGGTGCTGGGAATCAAACCCGGGTCCTCTGCAAGAACAGTCAGTGTTCTTAACAGCTGAGCCATCTCTCCAGTCCTGATTACTTTTTTTTTTTTAAGTAAATATATTTAAGTACTTATAGTAGCTGTGTGTATACATGTATGTCCTGGGATATGTGTGTGTGTGTGTGTGTGTGTGTGTGTGTGTGTGTAGGCCAGAGATCAGCCTCAGGTGTTGTTCCTCAGGACAGCCATATACCTTGTTTTTTGAGCCCATCTACCAGGCTAGGCTGGCTGGCCATCAAGCCCCCAGGATCCTCCTCTGTCCAGCTCCCCAGTGTTAAGATTACAGCATGTACCACCATACCAGGCTTCTCACAAAGGTTCTAGGGCTCAAACTTGGGTTCTTGTGCTTGCACAACAAGCACTTTATGGACTAAGTTTTTTCCCCTTCATATTGCCCACTTTCCCTTTCTCCACCCCCCATTGGTCCCCTATGTCCTGGAAACACTTTTACTTCTAATCAGTCTGTCTCTCTCTCTCTCTCTGTCTCTCTCTCTCTGTCTGTCTCTCTCTCTCTCTCTCTCTCACACACACACACACAATTTTATGTATCTGTATAACTAGGAACCACAAATGAGAGAAAACATATATGCCTTTCTAGGACTGGCTTAATTTGATTATTTTATTTGCATCCATTTTCCTATAAATCCTTATGACTGAAAAAAAAATCTATTATATGCATATACCTATATACCACATTTTTCTTATCCATTCCTCTGTTGTTGGATACCTAGTTTGGTTCCATAACTTAGCTGTTGTGAACAGTGCTCTAACAGACATTGATGGGCAAGTAACTCTGTGATAAGTTGACTTGGAGTTCTAAATAAACAGGAGTGGTATACCTGGGTCATGTGGAAGATCTGTTTTTAGTTTTCTGAGAAACTTCCATGCTGACTTCCACCAGTAGTGGAATTCCCACCAGTAGTGAATAAAGATTCCCTTTTGTCCATACCCTTGCCAGCATTTCTTACTTGTTTTATTTTTTAAAAAGATATTTCTTTCAGCCGGGTGTGGTGGTACACACCTTTAGTCCCAGCACTTGGGAGGCAGAGGCAGGCAGATCTCTGTGAGTTTGAGGCCAGCCTGGTCTACATAGTGAGTTCCAGGCCAGCTGAGACTACAGGGAGACCCTGTCTCAAAGAGACAAAAAAAAAAGAAAAAAATTTTCTTTCATGTGTATGAGTGGTTTTTTTTTTTTGCCTGTATAGATGTATGTGCATCATGTGCATGCAGTACCCATGGAGACCAGAAGAGGGGGGTGGATCCTCTGAAACTGGAATTACATAAATTTGTGAACCACCATGTAGATGTTGGGAACTGAACCTGGGTCCTCTGCAAGAGCAGCAAGTGCTCTTAACTGCTGAGCCATCTCTCCAATGCCCATGACTTGTTTTCTTAATGGCTGCCATTCTGACTAGGGTAAGATGGGCTCCCAATGTAGTTTTGATTTGCATTTCTCTGGTAGCTAGTGAGGTTCAGCATTTTTTAATAAATTTGTTGGCCATTTGTATTCATCTTCTGTGTGTGCATGTGCAAGCCAGAGGTTCATGTCAGGTATCCACCTTATTTTTTGAACTTGGAGATCACAGTTTGACTAGACTGGCTGGCCAGCAAGCCTTAGGGATCCTCTTGTCTGTCTTCCAGCATAGGGATTACAGGTGTGCACAGTGCATCCAACTCTACACTTGGGTGCTAAGGTTCTGAGTTCAGGTACTTAAACACTTTACTGACTGAGTCATCTCTCCAGCCTCAGTATTTCACCTCTTTACTGATTGGGTTGTTTGATTTCTTTTTTAATTTTTTTAGTTCTTTGCTTATTCTAGATATTGATTCTCTTTTGACATATAGCTCTCTTCACTCCATAAACCTAACTCGAGAACTAGGCATGTTTAATATTCCATGAAGATCCCTTTCTTGGAGCATTCATTGTTCTGTTTTTTTAGCTTTACTTTCTGTTTTTTTGTTTTTTGGAATTTTTTTGAGGCTCAGGAAAATTTATTTGGATATTTATCACACTGTCATATGATAAAGCTGAAAACTGGAAGCATCCTAAATGGCTAGTAGTGGTAGAAAGGCTAACTCAGTTCTATGAAGTACACTCACATAGTGGTTCATTATCTACCTGTATGTTTTGAATGGCTTCTGGAGATTTAAAAATTAATAGTAAAAATATTTAATACACAATAAGAGATACACATTGATATGTATAATATACCCACGATTTTATAGTGTGTATAGTAAAAAGCAAAAAAATCGAGATGCCTTAAAAATTCAAATAGCTTAAAAGGGTGGTGACTCAGGAATAGATGTTTTCTACTTTATAGTTTTCTGGATTTCTATTTTTAAAATGTATGTTATGGGCTGGAGAGATGGCTCACCGGTTAAGAACACTGGTTCTTGCAGAAGACCCGGGTTCAAATCCCAGCACCCACATGGAAGCTAACAACTGCCTGTAATTCCAGTTCCAGGGGATCCGACGGGCCTCTTCTGTCCTCTGCAGGGATTGCACGACACAGGTGCACTTACCTACATGCAGGCAATACACTCATACACATAAAAAATAAAAGTGATTAAAATTTTTTTTAAGTATATGTTACGATTCTTTTTTAATTTAAAAAAAAAACTTTTTTAGAAGAAGCATTTCATTACAACTTTAACATACTCAATAACAGTTTCCAGAGCAAAGATACATCTCTTTCAAAAGTGGCTATAAAATTTTTAGGATCGCTGGTGAACTAAGACAGTTATACAATATTGAACTCAGTATAAGCCCTGTAAGACATAAAATTGAACGAGTTTTTAACCTTTGAAAAAGATCTCCATTTTTATTTTCAAAAATACTGTTTCTGACAGAAGGACTCATTGTTTTTTCTAATAACACTGAGATGTTGGCGCATGAGTCTCTAATCTGTATGTATCTGATTATTACTAGTCATAATCAGTTGCACTTGGATCCTTGGCACCTGTGTATGTATATAAAGTCATCGGGTAGATTTCAATGGTATTGTTTATCACCTCTACTAATGAACATGACATAAATTTTTATGCTTCCTCCTCAAATATAATTTTTTTAATTTGTTGATTATGTGTGTGTGTGTGTGTTTGTGTGTATCACACAAAACGTCCCAAACCATCTTATTCAACTATACACCCACTTCCCAGATGGCACCCTCCCATAGCCTCCCTCCCCCCACTAGAGCCCTTATACTCTGTTAATCCTGCTACTGTCTGCTATGTTGTTGGCACCCCCAGCCATTCCCCACTACTTGTCTACCTGGTGAATCTAGTCAGCCTATCTCGAGGTCTTTGTTTTAGGAAGGTCAGCTGTT